GATTTTTTCATTATGTGACCTTCATAAGAATAAAAAATTTGAAGTGTGAGAGTACTGGGGGAATTGCCAAACTTGAATGTCCATAGTACAAAAGCATTTTTATTCCTTTTGTGTTCTCAATTATATATGTGTGTGTGTGTACATATGTGTATATATTTAATTCACCTTTACAACATCTCTACAATATAATTTAACCTCCTTAGAGGTTAAATGACTTTCCCAAATGTTATACAATCAGTGCTTGGTAGACTCTATACTCTTCTTAGACTTTCTGACTTTATATGATAATTCATATCTGCTATAATTAATTGTATTGAAGATAGTAGTAAAAACATCATTCATGAAAGGTGATGAAAGATATACTAAGGTTTCTAGAAGGGGATCATAGGCAATAAAGAGCACATTAAGGTGATTAAGAGATGTTAGTGATTGACAGGAAATATACCTTTTAGACTGATAATATTGCCAAGTTCAGGGAGTTTATATATGTACCAAAGATATCATAAACACTAACAACCAGCACATACTGCAAAGCAAGTATGGTTTAGTAAGTCTCAGAACTGTTTTGACTAGCCATGTAGATGAGTGAAAAGGTAGCTAGTGAAATTGGACTCTGAGATGTGGTTAAAAAGAACATAATAGAGGAGCTGATAATCGATGGGGGAAGAATAGATAGAGGATTTTTGAGGAAGAACAGCTAGAATGGACATATCGTAAAATGTTAAAGCAGGACGACATTTTAGAGATCATTTATCTCTACTCTCCACACACTACAGATAAGAACAGAGGCCTTCTTAAGAATACACAGCTAGAAAGCTGCATTACCAAGATTAGAAACCATGTTTTTATTCTAAATCTAGATCTTTTTCTACTCTCTTGAATATGAAATTTTAAACCATAGCAATAAAGTTATTAATCACTTCAAGTTCTCTTTGGAAGTAGATAGGTCCATTGTGTAGTCTTATAATCATTGATAAGTTAGATATGATCTAGAAAATGGAAATGATGAAAACTGAAAGTATAATGTTGAAATGTGTCAACTCTGAAGATGGTAATACAGATAATATTACTTTTAACAAGTCTAGAAGAATTGTACCATGTTGAGTAGCCTGTGGTTAGAAACAGATATGCTTCCTATAATAAACAATGTTACAGAATGAAAGAATAATGATAAAATTTTTTTGTTTGGAAGAACAATCATTATTTTTCTCATTCACATAAAAACAGTTTCTATTGTAAGTAGTCATTTTATCTTCATGCCTGTTTTGTATGTATTTATTCACAGTGTCTCATTAAATTCTGATATTATATAGAACTCCTTGGCTATGTTGTAACTTTACCATCTGGGATACATCAGTCACAAAATACATATACATTATAATAAAAATTGATGCTTCACAATAATTCATATTGGCTATATTCCATCTTAAAGACCTTTGTTCTGTTGTACAATAAAACTATGTAATATTTCTATAGAAGAACTGATCTAATTTTTTTAAGACTCTGCCATAACATTTTAAAATAACAGTCATGATTTCATACAGAAATCTTGGGAGAATTATATACAATCCACATGGACTTTTCTTATTTTCTTTAGCTCATGAATTTCTCCTTAGTTCTATAAATACCTATAATATTTGTACTGTTTTATGTTGTTTAGAACTGTTTAGTGGGGTTCTGTAGACATTGGTGGTCTCTTTAATTTTACTAATAATGCTTTGTAATGTGTTGCTATAAATAAAAATGTGTTCACTAATTCATTTCCCATCTGTTAGGATATTTATCTAGTTATGGATGTTCCAAAGAAATATAGGCAAAATGGAACAAAATTAGGGCAGTCATATGGAAAATTACTGGAGGTCAAACACAATTTAGACATTTGTGGGTCAATACACAGAGAACAATGTTTCCATCATCAACTCATTTTTGCTGAGATACAAAAATAATGTCCCTGCCCTCAGAAAGCTTACAGTCTAGTTTCCCACCACTGCAAAGTAGGTAGTGTTTAGTACTATGATATGAGGCAGACTGTTGTAAATACTGGAAGTTAAGAGAATTTAAAGGTCAAGCAAGGTGAAATTGCTACTGCTTGGCTATATCCAGGAAGACATCTTGAAAGATGTGGTATTTGAGGTGGACTGTTGAAGTAGGCAATTTGTGCATTATGAAAGAATAGGAAGGTAAACGTGAGCAAAGACAGAACACACTGGATGTGTTTGACAAATATCAAATAATTTAAATTGATAGCTTGAAATACTAATAGAAGAGTACTAACAGCCATTTAATAAGCACCTGCTGTGTGCTGTGCTGTGCTGTGCATCATGCTACATTGCTTATATGCCTCATTATATGAAACTTTTAGACCATAAGGTACGTGCTAGTGTTATTGCCACTTTCCAGATGAAAAGATTTTGCACAAAGCCATTCGGTAATTAACATGATGTTCTTAGCTCTTAATCTAGTTCTGCCAGTCATAAAACTCATGCTCTTGACCACTACACTACAGAGTTATATTGTAGAGATTTCAAATACAGAAGTGGGGAACTTATTTTCAATTATGTTGGCAATGGAAAGTGATATTTTTAAGGGGTTATACAGTTGACTTGATATTAGTGAATTGAAAGAATGTGGGCAGAGAAATTAGACTAATGGCTAGTAGGCTATTTAAATTGAAAACATGAGGAAATAGGTATCTTCAAATGTGACCCTGGGAGACATTTGAGCCTAAGTAAGAGTAATGGGGATTAAAACCATTTTGAAGGAAAAAAAATCAAGTTCGTCCAAGTTCTGAGTGCTTGAGGAACTTACAGGTAACAATGTCAAAATTATTTGGAATGTTGGTGTGAAGGAAACAACTTGAGATGGAGAATTGTCATTCTATGTTATTTTCCAAACTTAATTTTTAAATTTTCTCAGTTCTCTGGATCTGTATATTAGCTACGTTTTGAAATAAAATTGAATGCAGAATTGGCTAAAGCAAATCTTATGGTTAGCATAGGTTTGCACTTGTCAGTATTTTTATAAATTGAAGTGCGGACTATTTAGACATAATTTTATAGGATTTCCTTCAGAGACTCTAGCACTCTCCTGACCGCATTCTTTTTCTCCTCTTAACTTGCATCTTCTGTATGTGACGGTAATTTTGAAAACCAACAAAGTGTTGGAGAAAAAAATAATAGAAATAATGAGAATCTGGCTTGAAAAGAATAAGTATGTTATAATCTGTATTATAAATTCTATTAGCTTGGATAAACTGTGTCAAATCTGAAATACCAAGAGGTTTAAGTTAGATGCAATTGAGAATGAGTATCACTATTTAAGTAATAATGACATTTTCTTAGTGTTAATTTATCTTCTCAGTATTATCCACTATGAAACCCAACTTCCGAAGAATATCTAAAAACTTTATCTACCATTTAAAAGTAATCTTTTAATCCCCTTAACATTTTATAATAGGCTATCATAGTGGATTTTCCTAAGCTTTCCGTGATGTGCTGCCATAAACTTTGAGTGCTTTCTCCTTTATCACAGCCTGATGGTTGCAAGACGAACAAAATCCTAGGTATTGAGTGACAGATAATTCTTTCATATTTTTTACTCTCTAATTATTTGCATTAATAAATTATCTTCAATATGTTGTTTCATTGTAGAAATATTTTATGAAGACTAGTTCCATCTAGATAATATAATCTATAAATCCTATTTAAATTCCACTCAGTACATTATAATATGATGAAATAAAAGAAACAATATGATAAACAGTGCTATCATGAATATATTTTTGGTCTTTGTATTTGTAGGTTGACCTCAAATTATTTTCTATAGATTCATTCGCATGAGTGTGATTAAGAGGTCAAAAACTGTGAACTATGGTTATTGAAGTATGTTGACAGATTTTTTTTTTCAAGCAGTTTTTTGTGGCTCTGGGAAGGTATGTAACAAGAGAGTTCCAAATATATGATTAACCCACTGCTTCTGTGAACAGTGATTTTTACTTTAATAGTGATATTTATTAACTTACAAATATAGTATATTGTAGTCTGCCATTTAAAATAGGTTTTAATTTGCAAAATAAGTTGCTAATCATTAATTTTTTTATTTTTATTAGTTAAATTAATTACTAATTATGATTTAGTATACACATAACTGAATTTGAAGGTGAAAGTTGGGGGGATAAACTATGCCTTTCTAACTTTTAATATGTCTAAAATTTTCATAATGAAAAAGCTCTAAGAAAGGTTTTCCAAATCACTTGAATGAAATAATGGATAAAAGGCAAACTTATATAAACAAAAGATTCCTTTAATTATTTGATACAAATTTCAAATTTTCATATGGTAAAATATATTCTTGCATTTGATTTCTGTAGATTTAGGAAAATGATCATGAAGTCATGCAGTATCTCTATCTCTGTCTCTATCTCTCTCTATCTCTCTCTATCCTAGAGGCAGTAAGATCTGCCTAGTTGGTAAGATCACAGAACTTGGAACCAAATTGTCTGCATTTCAGTGCAGACAATTTCAGCTTTCCCATATACTATCTTTGAGTACTTAAGCAAGTTATTTTTCTCAGCCTCAGTTTTCTCTCTAAAAATGATCTAGTATACTTAGGTTGTTGGGAAGATTATACAAACGGTGTGCTTAAGGCACTGGGAATAATACCTGGCTCATAGTAAACATTTCAATAAGGCTTAGACAAAAAATATTGACTACCAGATATGTGTAATGTAGTAGATTAATAGCATTGTAATTTACCTCTACTACTCTTCTGCTCTTTCATACTTTTAATATTTTTAATTTTGCATCATTTTAAGCCTGGATTGATTGATACTTTTTTTTTTGTTCTTTTGTTTCTGGGTAGGTCTAATCATAACATGTTAAATGTGTACAGTGTTTATAGAATAGAAAGTGGGCATATAATGTTTCAAGGAGTTATTTCTTGTATTTTCATTTGAACTCTCCCTACTTATATTCTTGAATCCTTATTCTTTTATTTTCCAGATTTAATGCATTTGTGGAAAAGAAAATTTGGGATGGTAAGAAAATAATAGAATATTATAACACTGCAATGGATTCCTCAGTGGAAAACAACATGTATGTGAACAAAGTGTGGGTTCAGTGTGAGGATGAAAGTTGTCTGAAATGGAGATTGTTGTCAAGTGAGGATGCAGGAAAAGTTGATCACAATGAACCTTGGTACTGCTTCATGAACACTGATTCAAGATATAATGAGTGTTCTATCTCTGAAGAAGACTTTCCTGAAGAGTCTCAGTTTCATCAGAGTGGATTTAAGATTGTCTATTCACAGCTCCCTCTTGGAAGCCTGGTTTTGGTAAAACTACAGAATTGGCCAAGGTAAGATTTTTGTTATTTTGTAATAAACTGTTGTATAGTCTTGCTGAGTTTTAAATCTTAAAAACTTTCAAAGAATCAGCATTTCTCTGTTTGTCTAATTTCTTAATTATTGACTTCAGACCTCATTTTTTTTTTTTTAAATTAAGATTTATTTATTTATTTATACAAGCACTGGATACAGTCAGAAGTGCGGGAGGGTGAGAGAATTCACCAGAGTGGGGAGCAGAGCAGGCAGACTGATGAAGTACACTGCTGAGGGGAGCAATGGGCACAGCAGGAGAGGTCTGCGCGCCATGTGGGACCCTTGTGGTGGCTGGGGATCAAACCTTTGGTGCAGAGGCTGCAGGCAACTTCGCAGCCCACTGCTCAATCGCTGCGCCACCAGGGAGGCCCCGGACCTCATTCTTTTCTCCATTTAATTAGGTTTAGTTATATTTCTGGTTTCTAAAATTGGAAATTTAGCTGCTTCAAATCCTTGTTCTTCTTGATGTAAGTAATTAAAGCAGTGCATTCCTCTCTAAGCACTACTTTAGCAATAGCCTACAAATTTTGGTATGCTTTGTTTTATAATCATTCTGTTTGAAATATTCACTAATATTGTTGGTGATTTCCTCTTTGAAATGGGCTATTAAAAGTGTACTTGAAATTACAAAATTTGGGGGTATTTTTAAATTTCTTTTTAGCTTCTAATTTGAATTTATTATAGTCAGTTTCATAAAGTCTTATTTTATGGCCCATCATGGTCTATTTTGGAAAGAATGCATACTTTGTAGTTGTTGCCTAGTTGTCTAAAAGACATTTTCTTTTTAAATTTTTGTATGTTTATTATAATATATCTCAGTATTTCCCCTTTGGGGTTGATTTCTACCATTATGCAGTGTGTACTTTTAGTATACAAATGAGAGGGTTTTTTTTAATTAAAAATTTAAAAGTCATAAACAATTTAACCTGTTTTGATTTTCTCATTTTGGGACTTCTTTTATCACTTAAGATGGATCATTTTTGGTTATCTTTGATAATATTTTTTGTCAGCTGTTTTTGTATATTTTAATTTAATTGTTTTCCTTTTCCTTTTATTATTTCTGAAGTTACTACCAGTTGGGCTTGTGTTTTTCTTGTGTTCCTTCCAGTTTAGTCTTTATTGAAAAAATTAAAAATTCTTCCCTGAGCTTTACCTTCATTCTTTTCAGATTTTCATTTTCTCCGATTATCTATTTTTCAGCTTTTTCTAATTCTAATTCTAATTTATTTTTTCCCCCATGATCTACATATTTTCTTTATTTATCTTAGCTCAACTTGATATCTCAGATACAGCTCCGACCTCTTTTAAGGGGATGCCTTCTGGCATACTTTAACTTTTCATATAGGGATATTTTTCATTTTTATCATAATGACTTAATATTTGATTCTACTATGATTCTTCTTGTGTGCACACATAAAATGAGAATTTTTTTTCTTTGAGGAAAGGAAAAACAGTCAAAATATTTTTTTTTTTCAGTCGCTTTTCTTTCTGTTGTTCAGATGGATCATTTCTATTGTCCTATCAGTAAGTTCATTGATGATTTGTCGTAATCATTCTGCTGTTGAGACTCGTTAAACTTTTTTTTGATTATTGTGTTTTTAGTTCAGATATTTACATTTGGTTCTTTATATCTTCTATTTATTTACCAAACCTTTAACTTTTTACCTTTTGTATTTTTTAAAAATATATTTTAGTAGGCTGTTTCTGCTGCCTCACTAGAAGGATTTGAGGGTGGATAGATACCTCTTGGTTCCTACCAGGTCAGAGTGGAAGTCCAAGTTCTCCACTCAGCCTTACCTGATTCCCTGGGTAGGGAATGGTTCTTGAGACCCTCTGATCAGTATTGAAAAGAGGGCTCCACAGACAGCAGTGAGGGCAGGAAAGGAGTCAGAGTTTATTGAATAGCAAAAGAGTAAGACAGAGAACTCTGGGGAGACCTCTCCGGGCATAAGAGAGGCTCTCTGAGGTGCTGGCGCTAATGCCTATGTATGTTTTAGGAATACGCATTTTACAAAGCTTTCTCATGAATATGAAAATTAATTTAAAGAACATTTATTTGCATTAACATACTGTAATCCAAACAGTTTGATAATAAAATATGCCTTTTTAGATATGGTATATAAATTTCCTTTTTAATAATACTTTAGTAATACTAAAAAGCAATACTTTTTAAATATAGTATTTAAATTTGTAAATTAAGTTCCTCCTAGGTAATTTTTTATTTAAACTATTATTCGATTATTGCATTTTGTTTCTTAAACAATATATTTAAAATGTATATGTGGATGGAAAACTTGTCTTACCGTCAGTCTCTGCTCTTGGGTCCTTTCCAGTGATTTCTTGGAACTATAATCTTTAGTTATTGGTGATGATTCCCACTCATGTATTTTGTTTTCCACAGGCAAAGAATAAAGCCCAAGTAAATTCTGATTCCCTTTTAAACACCCAAACTAAAATTTGAAAGCATCAGTCATGTGCTTCTCACTGGGGATAAATCCATGGCAACTGAAATCATGCTTAAGCTTCAGTATGTATTGAGTGCCATAGCAGTACACTATCTTGTTAAACCACTGGCTAGAAAACATGTAAGACATCTGTTTCTTCATGATATTTTTGCCTTTCCTTTGAAGTTACTTTTTTGCCAAAAATCCCCTTACTTCCCCAGTAGATTTCAACACCTGGTATTTATTTGACCGTATTGTATTCATACATTTTACCTTTCAGCACCCACAGATTCTAAAATCGATTTTATGCTTTCCTCATAATTCCAATGCCATTCCATTGACATACTTCTACTCTGTCTTTCCATCTTTAATACCCTACATAACATTTCAGAATTTCTCAATATGCAAGTGAAAAATCGAGATGTATAAGTGCACAATGTGCTATCACCATTGACAGTTTGGAACTCAAATTGAGGTCAGAGTGAGGGTAAAAAATGGACATCAGCTTCTTCAATCATAACAAGTCAGAGAAGATGATGGATGCAGCAGCTGGAGAGAAGTAATCATGTTTTCTGTATCTATTGCCTCTGCTCAGCTTTTCCTGCTGTTTCATATATTCCTTTTTAGCTGGGATATACAGATTAGGAGTCAGACAATTCCTCTGCACTGCCTGAAGAAACACTAAAGTGCTCCAGTTATTTGAATATTTGACAGTACTTTTCATAATTCATCTAAATCAGCATCAATATTTTCTACAGTATAATATGTTTTAAATGAAGAACAGAACTTTTTTATTGGCATGAAATTTTTTTTAGGCACCATCTCTATCATTATTTATATTTTATAGAGTAATAATTTAAATGTAATACTCTTGGGCCCAATAGATTTGATGTAAAAAGTAGTTATATTAGTATTTATGTCTGAAAAGTAGACACACATCTTATACATAATAACCACAAAATCTCTCTTTCATGCATTAAGTGTTAGAAATCCTAAGACTGTTTTGTGCTGAACAGAGCAGGTGCTACATATAATTTGATGTTGCTTGGCAATAATCCTTTTTAAAATTGCTGGGAGGTGCAAATTGCCTTGTATTAAACATGAGCTCCATATATTATACAAAGGTTTAAAGAAATAAAATTTAACAATTATGGTTTTGATACTTTTAAATAGTTGTTATTCAGATTGAAGATTTCCAATAAATTGGTCTCCTTTGCAACTGCCACTCATTCTTAGATGTTTGCCTATTGAAGTTTTTTACTTTAGTGAATTCCTTCAGAATGTATATTTCCAATGTAGGTTTAAATGATAAACTCCACTTAATATTACTGTACAGACCAATAAGAGTCACCAAATAGTAATGATACTGTGATGGGAAGCTGAAAATAACCACATAGTCTTCCTCATTTAGGTCTGAACCCCAATTTAATTTTCTGTTGTAACTTCCAATTCATCTAAAGAATTTGTTGTTTGGGGTTCCAGGTAGTATGAGTCAATGATACAAGATGATATAAGACTGCCCTCTTCTCCCTTTCCCCTAACAAGAGAGGTCCAGGAACCATAGGACTATGCTCAGCATCTAGGGAGCAATCAGACCCCTGCTCCATTCTCAGACCCCTGCTCCACCATCCCTAGGGACTAGTGCACTCACGCCATCACTTCCTGGCAGCTATACTTGGGACTTGGCAACTTTTCTGGAATCACGTTTTTTAATACTAAGCATGAAATATTTTTATTAGTTTTTTTGTTTATCATGTAAAAACTTTTTAATGGTTCATTAGGATAGAAGCATTTCTATATTTATGACTTTTAATATCAACTGATAATTGAATAAAAGATTAATAATATATAAATTCAAGCAATTTATGGATTTTATATTTTCATGATTTCATATTCTTTATATCATGGCTTCTTTTAGTTTTTAAAATTATCTGAATACTTTGCCTAGTTTCTAAATAATTACCTAAATGAGGAGAAAAATATTTTTGTGTCAAAATATTTTTGTGTCATTCTTTCTACTTCTCAATTTTACCAGTTATCTTAACATGTCTATAGTTAATTATTTTGCTAGAGCAGCCATAACAAAATATCCCAGATTGGGGTAGCTTAAAAACAACAGAAATTTTTTTTGTTCTTACAGTTTTGTGGACTAAAAGCCTTGAGATCAAGGTATCAGCAGAGTTGACTTCTTCTGAGGCCTCTCCCTGTCTTACAGATAGTGTCTCTCTTTGTGACTTCATGTGGTCTTGCCTCTGTGTCTCTGTGTGTCTAATCTCTTATCATAAGAGATTAGGGCCTGCCTTTAACTTAATTACTTCCTTAAAGACCCTATCTTCAAATAGAGGCATAGTCTGAGTTACTGGGGTATAGGACTTCAACAGATAAGTTTGGGGGATGGGAACACAATTCCATACATAACAATGACACTTTACAATAGTTTACTTTGTCAAAAGGTGTAAAGTGTGTGTTCCTTTGAATGGTGAGCAGCCAGAGTTACTAAGAACCCTAGACAGCTGTTTGAGGCATTTTGTTTAGTAGAAGGCAGAACTATTCTGGATCTCCTAATTGGAACCTCACTGTCACTCTTCAATGTTGCAAACTGTTACAGTTGTTGACAGTTGTACATATTTTTTAATGTTTGGGCATATTAGATACACATATTTTGGATTTTGATCTATAAAATTCTGCCAGATTCCCAGTGTCCTTAGTCATAGCTTTGTGACCTTATTTGCTACCTCCCTTCTTCCTGCTTTATTCTCTGCAATAGTAGGTCAGATTCTAGAGAGATTAGTAAAATATTTAGAACTTAGTCAATATATATAGTATATTTTTGCCAAATGGAAAAATAAAACATATCAAGGAATTTCTGTAGTTTTATGACTAGAAAAAACGTATCACTGAAGATTTTTTCTTCTCTGTAAAAATCCATTTTATTTCTACTATTGAGAATTCTACACAGTTTGGTCACCTGTCAAAGTAGCAGATAGCATAGAACTGCTGGGCCCTATTTCCACTTTTCCCACCATGATTATAATCTGTAGATTATTGCAATCTGATCTACCGGTGCTCCATTGGCTGTCCTGCCTCTGGATATGCCAGCCCTTTCCTACCCTGTCAGAAGTCTTGTCATGGGTTAACATTTTAGTAATTAAGCATTCAGATTGATTCGAGTTGATTCGATCCGCCATGATTCTAATAAGTTTTTTTTCCTTGTATCTTTCCTATCAGTGATACTTAAATGTCACTTATTGACCCTGGAGATCATTCTTTTGTCTTGCAGTTCTTTTTTTTTTTTTTTTGTGGGACCCTCGCCAGCGGCAGGGGAACAAACCAGCGCTGCAGAGGCTGACGGGCAGCTTTGCAGCCCAGCGCTCAACTGCTGAGCCACCAGGGGAGGCCCTGTCTTGCAGTTCTTTCTTATAGCTTATGTATATCTTAAACTTGTGAGTTTTTCAAAGCTTTCTGTATCTACAAAGATATAACTGATTATTTGTATTAAATGAACATCCTACTTGTAAATGATACAAATATGAATATGTTTGTTTTTTAAAAAGTTACTAAAATGCAAAGGAGAGAGTTTAACATTATTGTGACAAATGTATTGTCTACCTGTTTTAAAGCTTCAAAATAATTAAAGATATTTTCTTTTCAAAGTTGGCCAGGGATACTATGCCCTGATCCTTTTAAAGGGAAATATGTGACCTATGACCTGGATGGAAATGTTGAAGAATATCACATAGAATTCTTGGGTGATCCCCGTTCACAATCATGGATAGGTGCAACGTTTGTTGGACATTACAGTATCACATTTAAGGTAGGTACAGTAACATTGCAATTTATTCTTCTTCCATTTTTTTAAAATTATGATCACTTTTGTCTCCAACCCTAAAATATATGGTTATTTAACTTTATATTATATAAATAAAGTAGCATGTACTATTTATACTCAATATTCCTGTTTTTTAAACCATTCCTTATATCCCTTTGACCCTTCCTATCCTTCTTAATGTCAAAATTCTCAATTTGTTAGTGTCAGCTAGAATCATCTACTTATGTAAATGTCAAATATTTTGTCTTTGTCATTCTGACCTGCTTTATTATGTGCAGTTGCCCAAATTCCTTCCATTTTGTTATAAATGGCAACTTTGTATCTTTCCTTATGGCTGAATAGTGTTCTATTATGTGTATATAACCACATCTTGATCTAATCTGCTGTCACTGGACATTCAGGTTATTTCCAGATCCTAGAGATTGTAAATAATGCTGTAGTAAACATTGTAGGGCACATAAACTTTTGAGTTGATAGTTTCATATTCTTCAGATAAACACTCAAGATTGGGATTTATGAGTCATATGGTATTTCCATTTTTAGTTTTTTTTTTTTAAGATAAATCCTGATCATTTTCCAAAGTGGCTGCACCTGATTGAGTTCCCATCAATAGTGCATTAGGGTTCCTCTTTTTCTGTATCCTTTCCAGCACTTGTTGTTGGGGTCTTTTTAATATGTGTAGTTTTCATGGGGTGAGATAATACCTCATTGTAGTTTTAACCTGTATCTCTCTTATTAAAAGTATCTATTGGTCTTCTTGATATCTTCTCTGATAAATTGCCTTTTTAGCTCTACTGCCCATTTACTAATTGGATTATTAATTTTTAATTGTTAAATTGTTTTGTATATCTTGTCACTGTGAAGTGTTCAATAAGTTGCCTTTTTGTTTTTAAAGATTTATTTATTTATGCATACAGTACGGGGGTACAGGCAGAGGTGCGAGGGCTGAGAGGATTCACCAGAGACAGAGGGGAACAGAACAGACAAACTGACTGAAATACACTGCTGAGGGGAGCAGCAGGCTAGTCGGGAGAGGCCTGCTGCACCATGTGAGTTGATCTCTGGCCAGGGATCGAACTCGTGCTGCAGTGGCTGCGGTAAGCTTCATAGGTTGCATCTTAACCCCTTGCACCACCAGGGAGGCCCCAATATGTTGCCTTTTTTAAAGTCTACTTATATTTTCTGTCACTATGTAGAAACTTTTTAATTTGAAGTCATCCCAACTGTACATTTTTGCTTTTATTTCCTTTGCCATAGAGGTCAAGTCTCCAAAAACATCCTTATCATTGATTTTAAAAAATGGATTGTCAATGTTGTCTTCTACATATTTACATTGCAGGTCATATAGCTAAGTCTCCAATTCATTTAGAGTTTATTTTTGTATGTGGAGTTAAGAGAGTAATCCAACTTCATTCTTTTGCATGTATCCATCCAGTTTTCCTGGCACCATTTGTAAAGCAACTTTCCTTTCCCTGCTGTATGGTTCTGGCTCCTTTATCATGAATTAAGTGTTGACATTTACTTGGATAAAATAAATATGGATTTATTTCTGGGATTTTGATTTTATTCTATTGATCCCTGTTCTCTTTTTATTCTAATATCACTTTTTTTAAAAAAAAATATTTATTTATTTATTTATACAAGCACTGGTACAGTCAGAAGCGTGAGAGGGTGAGAGAATTCACCAGAGGCAGAGGAGAGAGCAGAGCAGACAGACTGACGAAGTACACTGCTGAGGGGAGCAGTGGGCGGCAGGAGAGGTCTGCACGCCATGTGGAACCCTCACCTGGTGGCCGGGGATCGAACCAGTGCTGTAGAGACTGCGGGCAGCTTCGCAACCCAGCGCTCAACCGCTAAGCCACCAGGGAGACCCTAATATCGCATTGTTTTAATTACTGTTTAAAGTCAGGTAATGGAGTGCCTCCATTTCTTTTCAGGATTGCTTTAGCTATTTGAGGCCTTTTTGATTCCTTATAAATTTTAATATTTTACATTCAATTTTTTGGACACTAGTATTTTGATGGGAATACATTAGGTTTATATATAGCTATTTGTAGAACAGTTATTTTAACTATATTGATTCTCCCCGTCCATGAGCATGGGATGTCTTTCCATCTTCTATGGCATGATCTAAATTGTTAACTACATCTTGTGATTTTCATTGTTAAGTCTTTCACCTCCTTGGTTAGGTAATTCCTAGGTATTTGTTTCATTTTGAAGCAGTTGTTAATGGAATTATTTTCTTAATTTCTTTTTCTTCTCATTCACTGCATCTAAAACTGTAACAGGATTTTGTATGTTGATTTTGTAACCTGCCACTTTGCTCTATTCATGTATTGTTTCTAGTCGCTTTTTAGTGTGGAGTCTTTAGGATTTACCACATACACATACACACACACACACACACACATATGATCTCAGCAATTATTTCTTTAATATTACTGTGCCTTTCTTTTCTTCTTATGGAACACCCATGATACAGATGACATTTCTCTTTAGGTTATTACAGAACCTCCTTACACTGTTTGCATTTTTTTGAAATTATTGTTTCTCTTTTGTTCTATTTGTGTGTTCTCTGCCACTGTACTTTCAAGCTCACTGATTTTTTTTTTCATTAACTTGGCAAGCATGGTTATAACTGCTATCTTGAACTCCTCATCAGACATATTCCACAGTTGTACTGGATTGAGACTTTTTTCAGGTTTCTTTTCCTCCAGAAATTGTGGTATGTTTCGCTTTCTCTTCTTTTGTAGTTTCTATGGATAGTAAAAGGGAGTTGCCTTTTCTTACTTTGATAAATTGGCATTATACCCCTGCTAGGTTTTTTGCCCAGCTTGTTTAAATGCTTTTGTACCTATTGAAATGACCAGGGTGCTGGTGCCAGCAAGGGGTAATAATAGATAGGAAGGACCAGCTGCCATTAACAGCTGGTTCATATGCTCAGCACACAGTAGAAAATCAAATACTGAACACCAAGTGTTTAAAGAAAGGGAAAAATGTAATATCTGGAAAGTACTGATCAGGATTGTGGGAGGTAATCCTCAAGTATACTACCCTAACCAAGGGGCTATTGGTTTTTTATAGGGAGGCTTTCATTCCAGAGAAGCAGGGAGGCTATGGGAGTTATTTAGGGAGGGTGTTGGTTCTGGAATTTGTTGTGCATTTGTAGACACACAGGAGCCATGACCAATTTAACTAAATAGCCTGGGTTTCATCATCTGTGTAAAGGCTTACTGATTTCCTGAAGAACAAATTAGTCCTTATCTCACAGCTGCGCATTCTTTGGTACACAAACAGAAAGGGAGGTTAATGTGTGTCCAGAGGATTGACAGTCTGAGGCTTTGTTGGGGTGTATAGATTAACCCAGGATGTGCTGGGTCAGTGTTGGGCTCAGTTTCACTAGACACCATATGACTGAGTGTCTAGTGAGGATCAAGTGTTCAAACTTCCTATAGCGCTGTGGCTACCCAAATTTTGTGGTTGTGATCATATTAATCCTTTCCCTATGTCAAATCTTTGGCCAAAATGTCTTATATATTCTCATGCCAGTGTTGAAAAATTGATGTGGTATTGAGTGATTACTATACTTGAGATAAAGTAACAAGCCATTAATTATTCACTTTGCTTTTTGAATATTTAGTCGTAGTCTGGGGTGCTTGTTCCTGTTATTAAGATCCAGGTGCTCAACTCTGATTCGTGTAAGTATTTAGTTGTCTTTGTCTTGGACCTGGGTAAGCATAAGGCAGGTGTTTCACATATCACAGCCTCAGGATGCAAATAATAGTATTGTCTATAAGGAGACACAGGTGTTCTTATATTCTCTCCCACAGGTTCAGGCTCCAACTGTTCTAGTATAGGAGTCTCAAACTCAAGCACTCTGTATCCTTACTGCAGTAGTCCTCCAGTGGTGCACCCTCTTTCATGCAGGCCAATTTGGGTGTCCCTTTCTCCAATACAGTGTGCCTAGTTTTTTTTTTTTGTTTTTTTTTTAACTGCTGGTGCGTGTGTGCCCTTGAGTTAACAGCATGGCTGCTCCATATAACAGCCACTCCTTTCTCTGTGGGTTGTATGCCCTAGTATTGCTCAAAATACAGTTTAACTACAGTTTTTCCTGCCAATTCTGCTCAGCATTCTCCTGATGTGTGCAGTAGTCAAGCTTTCAGGGGTGTTGATTTGTTTTGTTATGATTTGTTTGTGAACCTGCGGAGGAGGTGAGTCTACTGTCTTCACTCTGCCACCATCTTGCCAGACTCTCAAATGTCTTTTTAAAGCAGTTTTTTAAAGGAAATAGAGATATAAAATTAGCTGTGGGATAATTTTTAAATTTATTTTTCTAAAGGCAACACAGTATAATTCAACTTTGGACTGTTCATACCAATTTTAAGATCATCACATGACAATTTTTTAATTCTCTTGAGAAGACTCTAAAATGGTAGCCCTCACTCACAGGGAAAATTAATTATAGAATTCAAGCAGATTTTCAAATTTCAAACAGAATATTTCATTACAAAATCTTCAGTATGCTTTTGACTCCTTAAATTCCTTCAACTTTAAATCACATACTACAGTTGATGAATAGCCTGGACTCTTAGGCTGATGAGACTAGGTGAACTAGATGATCCATACCACTTTCCAAAATGGCTTCATCAATTCACATTCCTACCAATCTTGTATAAGGGTTCCTCTTTCTCCAGATACTTGCTAAGATCTGCTGTTAGTAGATTTTTTTAAACCATTCTCACAAGTGTTGGATGATATCTCACTGTGATTTTGATTTGCATTTCCCTAATAAGAAGTGATGATGAACATTTTTCATATATCTAACCTAATAGTAATCAGTGCCATTGAATACAAGCTTAAGGTAATTCTTGTCATTTTTTTTTTTTATTTTTTTTTTTTTATAGAGGCATGTTTATTTATTTGTTTATTTGTTTGTTTGTTTGTTTTGTTTACACATGCACTGGGTACAGCCAGAAGCACGGGAG